ACACTACTGAAACGAGTAGTTGTAAGTCTTTCTTGTAGTCTTTCCACCGCAGTGCAAATACGTGAAAGGATGGAAGGGAGGAAAACAAAACAATGGAGAGGTTTCCGATTTAAAAGCTTACCTTACAAAGTTGTTAAACTTGTCAAACTTGTGTATAACACGTTTGCCTTTGACATCCCATAATACACCGTCATTTAGTACCAGGTCGTCCGTGGGATTGAAGGAGGCGAGGTTCTTTGAGTAGTTGTTAGTGTTGTTGGAATCGTGCAGAGTTAGTACCCGCTGACCTGTCGCAGTGTCGTAAATCTGATGGTTGAATATAATCTAGTGAATAATATCATCACACTCTAACTGCATTCTAATGCTCGTTGTTATCGAGAAATAAAAAGGGTGTTTTAGCAGAAAAGTACCACAAGCAATAAACGACAAAAAAAAAAAACAAAAACAAAAAACTGAACCAAATACAAGAAAACATTGGTCAACCCTTACTAAGGTAATCACAAGGCTTTGCCTCCAATTTATTAACGATCTACCGATAGAAATCTCGAGTTCGACGCCTTAAAGTTTGTTTAATTTTTCAAAAGACGCATTTCAACTGAGAGACGTGAAAGAAAAACCAAAGTTGTTTCTAAAGCATATCAAAATAACCAATAAAAAATTATTAAACACAGCCAACAGGCCTCAGAACAAGTAAACTGAGGCGTAGAAAAGTGATCTTGGTCATGAAGTCTGAGCTAAAAATGCTTCTTGAAAGTCCATGTATTCGAGACAAAAAATGATCGCGCACAAACTTGGGCGAAATCAGCGATTCTATCGTCCTTGCTGTCCCGTGTTCACGCTGTAGCAATTTCGCTTATCTATTTGTCCTTTTGTAAATGTTCTAAATGAACAGCGACAATTTGTCAAACTAAGGCTGATCGCCATGTATTTAGAAGTGAAAATGTATCATATGTCTTGAACTCACATGCGCAGTAGCGTCGTGTGTGCCAATAATTCTGTGTTCTGATAAATTACTAGACTTTACCCAGGTGTCTTCGCCAAATGAATAAATGTCTGAGCCAAAGACAAACAAATAAAATTATAGGTAAATAACATTTTTTATCAAATAGAGAGATAAATGTAACGACGAAATATTACAGTTCGCCTACTGTCACCGTGTTATTAACACCAATCTGATTATAGGATACGAGCCATGATATACACCTAAATTATTTCCCATTTTGCTTGTTTTGATCTTGAGCGTTGATTGCCGCAGGTGCATTAAGTTGAAATCATTGCTCGTCTCCTGTAATCTATGAAATTAGTTTGTCTAGGTGTCTTCTGTAAAAGTTGTAGCTCTGAAAGAACAATGTAAAACTTCTTTTTGTATCTCAGCGATCCTCAAGTCAATAAAAATTAATGGTAAAACATAGCGAAGTATGTGTTTGCTTTATGTTTCTGCGACAAACAATGTAGCTTGTTAAAGGTGAGATACAAATATACCAAGCAGAGACACAAACAAGGACGTAACTACCCAATGCACTAGTGGTACGAATCAAACAGGTTTTGAAAGACTTACTTCATTTCGAAAACGTCTCCAAATGACCAAAGAGCACAGGGAGGCGAAGCAGATGAAGATGACGTCAATAAAAGTTCGCGGTCCTAGAAGTTGAAGAATGGAGTACAGAAAGACAATTTCAGTGATAAATGAATTCGTGAACACAACCTGAAATGGTCGCATGAACCTTAGATAGGTTCATAACGTTGCGAAACGCGCTGGAAAACTGATGAATAAAAAGGGTTGATTGGTTTGAACGAAATATATGGAAACTAAACAGTTAACATGAAGACTGAATTTGATCGAACGTTAAGTTATTTAAGAGAGTGTCTCTGTAAGAGCGGTCCGGTCGATTTTGCTTGAGACACGGATTTCGCTCATTTCTTGTGTGTTGTAAGACATTTATGTACCTATACTAAAACCACAATCCGTTTGATCGGATCTCTTTATTTTTCAGGGTTTTACGGAAATTAAATTTCACTCGAGCGAAGTCTTGTCGTGACACTTTTCAAGACTTTAAATTGAGACAACTTTGGAGGGCAATTTACAAAAAACTACGGAACTCAGCAAAAAACAAATACCACAGCCATGTATATTAACTCTATCGAGGTGACTTTAGTGAACATCACGTTTCAATCAAGCAAACAGGAAGACTTGAATGACACCTTATCGGTTCGCTTAAGTCACACATGCCAAAACCGATCAAATTCAAGGTAAATTTTTAAAAAAGTGAGGCCTTCTTAACTGACCCAACTAACATAGCTAGGAAGTAGGTGCCATAGAAAAGGTAACTTCAGAAAAAAACTTTGCGGCCCGACCTTTACGAAAACTTTATAACTCCGTGAACTTACCTAATTTTCGGCAATCTCCAAGTTTGGCCGCCATTTTGAGGGACTTGTCAACATGAAGCGTAGCAGATATAAATCAAGCAGGTAGATCTAAAACCGTCAGAAATACATACGAAAGCAATTCAAATGAACTTTACTTTCAATTCAAGCGGCAAGATTTGAAATAGTTCGTTAAACTTACTATTCCTACATCCCCATGCGACCATTTCTTCCAACAATTCAAACACTACAACTAGTGTTCGAATTCCCCTCGTCGATTCCAACGTAAGAAATAACCTGTGCCACCCAAGCTTCGACTCGAATGTGAAGTACGAATCAAATAACACAACTGCTTCATCTTCGAGGCTATATCAAGCTGGTATTTTGATTTTCTGATCGACAAGGACGGTGATCAGATAGCGATCGCCATGTTTACCTCATAAACGTGACCGCTGACCAGCCACTGAGTGAAAACAGTATAGCGCGGGGTCGGGTGGGTGGCGGGCCTATCGTCATAAGATATCCGAATACATGCTTAAAAAGCTTTAGGACTCCCAGTCTAAACAGTGAAGGCATGCTTCGTGGTACAGACAACTTTTATTTTATTCCTCTTTCATTATCTTCTTTAAATTAGAACTGGTATTAATTAATAGAGTTATCAATATATTTTTTACCTTTTTGCTTGTCATCAGTGGTATAAAAGAAGGTGTCTTTTCCACCAGAAACTTTTATTTATGCCCCATTGCACGGAATAAACTCTATACTTAGAATTTCTGTTCTAAGTCATTTTTGTTGTTCCCAAGAATGTATGCAAAATGATAGAGATTTGATTCATTCAGCTGACAAGTTCTTTTAAGTAATGTCGCGTGCAGGTTTTTTCTATCAAAAGTCGCGCGCGCAAAACACCGGAATTGAAAGTTCGTCGTGAAATCGCACGAACCTTAGACTGAGTGTGAACAACTTTGACTTCTGACGAGATGAAGTGGATGGTTCAAAGGACCCCCTGAGATTTTTTTCAGGACTATAACTGAGATTTGTATATAACTATGATAATTGTCATTATTAGTGGACTATGCTTTTTTACCCATTGTTGTCATCATTATCATTATCACGCCGGGAGAAGTATAAAGCCGGCACGTTGCCTTACCTAACTACACAGAAAATTATTCTCTCTTTTGCTCCCCTTGGATTCTGGAAACTGTTACTATTAAGACGATCAACAAGAAAGCGTTAATAATTACTGAAATTTTTGATTAACAGAATGTAAGAATGCAAATTTAATCATACTGGTTAATGAGAATTATACAAACTGTTGCAATCAACATGGTGGACTACAAAAACGTGTCTCCTACGCATGATCGTGCGAGTAGCCGCTGGCCAACACCAAAAGCAGACCTTTCCAATGACGTACCTATTACTTGTCACTCCCCAGTCTGACGATAGGGAGATCAACTGAGACAGCAGGGTGAAGCCTTGAAGTCTGTTCATCACCTTTGGGATGGAAGGAAAAAATGTTAAATAATAGCGAACTTGAGCAGTCAGGAATGAAACGCCGAGGAAGACGTCGACTAAAATAATGAATTTTTATTTCTGGTTCGGATTTTGCGAATGGCTGGGTGTGTTTACCGTCTCTTACGGTGCCAGACCACAACCTCAGCATAACATATGTGAGCCTGGTTGAGTTCCAAATGGAAATTTTACTCTTATGCCATCAGGGTTTCCGTTCTCAGACATAGCAAATTTTGGTGATTTCACGTTTCAAGTGCTGTTCTCGTTTTAAGCCATCGTGGTTTCCCACAGATCCCTAATAAACATAAGAAAACGTATGCATCCTGACACTGTAGAGCCCACAGACAGAAGCGAGCTTACACTAGTTATGGGTAAATCGGCAAGATCCGATTAGAATTCCAGCCGCTTGGGTGGCAAAGATTTTCATGCTCGACCACTTCATGGAATATCCAAACAAAAAGTCCACAAAAAATGAACCAGTCTTGAGGCAACAGAGCGATTTGTGCAAGCGAGTCTGTGCTTATGAGCATTGGTTGATGAAATAAAAAAACAAAACAAGAAACGAACAAACAAACAAATATAAGAAATTACTTCTCCACTCTATTCCTGAGAGCGAAACGTATCTAATGGATTGATATGTATACGTAAACTACGAGAATTATGAATATAATGATACTAATAATAATAATTATGATAATTATAATAATAACAATAATAATAACAATAATAATAATAAATAATAATAATAGTAAAACCGAAGAAAATAACAACAACAAAGCAATGTAAGTAAGTGTTACGGTGCCCATTGGGGGATTTCATAACGTACGAGCCGTCGTTAACCATCAAATACTGTGCCCCATTACTGCGAAAAAAAAAACAACAAAAAAAACCCTTTGCCGATGTTAAGTTCACTTCCAACCTCTCTGAACTAAAGCAGCCAAGCGGGTGTCGTCCTTTTAAATAACATAACATATTGAATTTGCTCATCTGACAATATACAATTTTCTCCTAAAATTAGGGAGTAGGCTTGAAAATTCACCTTATACGCTGGAACTGGAACAGGTGGTGTTCCACCCTCGTTCCTTGCCATAGATCTCCTCAGCACATCTGCCCTGATGTGAAGATAGGCATTAAAGTATCTCCGTAGAGCCATGCAAGTGTGATTTGCTGTCTGCCGGCTGCCAAACACCTCATCATTACTCAGTAGTTCTGCCTTGTCGGGACGAAGGATTGAAAGTGTACTTAGCTGCCACAACATGGTTAAACAAAAAAAAGATTCTTTTAGAATGGTTTGCAGCCAGTAATATTCGTTGTTTTCAAGATGCAAACGCAAGTGGAATAGGACCGTAAAATGGCTTGAAAAAATTTAAAGGAGTCTGCGCAGTCTGGAAAATGCAAACACGGCGTGTACTAAATACTTGTTAATTCATAGCGGTCGGCATGTCTCTAAACTACTTTTCAAAAGTAACAAACCGTGATTTACTGAAGTGGAGGTTGCTGGCTAGTAGCGGATATTCACCGAGTCTCGAAGCCGCGAGGTGAATATCCACCGCCAGCCATCGACACTGAGGTGAATAGTTATAGTATATACTTAAACAGAAAGATGATATAGCAAAAAGGGATGATTCTAACTCATTTATTCCCGCGATGATTGCAATATTTCCGCGCGCAAATCACGCGCGAGTTACTCGGAGGTGAACAGCAACGGATATTCGGAGTTTGAGTAGCCAATCAGAATGGGCCTTCAACGTTATCCACTATTTCATTAATTAAATAAACACATTTTACGTTAGTTATTCTTTTATTTCTACCTGAAGGTTATACGTTATACATAAATAAGCTTTTTCGGGGGGGGGGGAAGGGAGAGGGAGATTGATGAAAAATAAGCAGAGATGTGTTATTCATTGTTATTTCATGTTTAACGGAATGATACTTGTTACCTCTTTCTTTTAGAAAAAACTGGTCTGCTCATAACTCACAGATCATTGGTAAGTTAAATCTGCACTAAATAACGCATTTCTTACAACTACAAATCAAAAAACCTAAAAACATTTTTTTTAAATGGAAAAATGTCTTACCCTCTCCATGGCGTCCTCATTGTAAGCGAGATAATATAAACACATAGAACATCCGTAGCAGCCACAGATGGGCGGGGCACTTCTAGTAACCGCTGGACACCGTTATGAGTCACAAATTCTGTGGCAAACTTTTTATGACAAAGAAGGGATGCCAAATACTAAAAAGACAATAAAAGGAAATAGCTTTTAAATTCTTAAATTGTCAGATCTCAGTCGGTACAATGCATTATTGTCTTAACCTTTAACTCCCACGAGTGACCAAGACAGAATTTCTCCTTACAATATCAATGACAATATCAACCAGATAAGTAATGAGAATAGAGAAAATGATCAATTCGGGCAGGATTAGCGGATCCAATACTAAATTATCCGAACTAACATTATAAGAGTCTGCAGACTCTGGAAGACTGAAGGAGAAAGACTACACCTTCTTCTGGCAGGGGAAAAGCCCCAATGTACCGCGTCAGCATGGGGTGGGCTTTGCAGTGAAGAACAACCTGCTGAACATGGTAAAGCCAGGCAACAGCGGCTCAGAGCGACTCCTCACTCTCTGCCTGAACACCACGGCAGGCCCTGTAACTCTCGTCAGCGTGTATGCTCCAACACTCTCTGCTACACCTGAAATTAAAGACGAGTTTTATGATCAGCTCACAGCCACGATCAGCAACATCTCAAACAAAGAACAACTTATCCTTCTGGGCGACTTCAACGCCAGAGTAGGAGCTGATCAAAGATCATGGCCTTCTTGCCTTGGAAAGTTTGGCATAGGCAAGATGAACGACAATGGCCAGAGACTGCTCGAGCTATGCACCTATCACAAACTCTGCATAGCCAACTCTTTCTTCAAGACCAAACCTCAGCACAAGGTCTCTTGGAGACACCCGCGCTCAAAGCAGTGGCATCAGCTGGACCTTATCCTTGTCAGACGAACCGCTATTAAGAACGTCCTCCACACACGCTCTTACCACAGCGCGGACTGTGACACAGACCACTCCTTGGTGTGTTGCAAGGTCAGGCTCCATCCGAAAAGGTTCCACCGTGGCAAGAAGAAAGGGAGCCCTCGTATTGATGTCACTAAGTTGAGCCAGCCTGATCTTAAAGAGCAATTTGCTGAGAGGTTTGAGAATCATCTAGCAACATTACAGTCAGGGGACTCCGCAACTGAGAAGTGGACCACCTTACGGGATACAATGCACCGCACTGCCTTGGCCACCTTTGGAAAAAGTACCTCGAAATCGCATGACTGGTTCAAAGCTAAATCCGCTGTGATGACCCCCATCATAGAAGCAAAGCGTGCCGCTCTAACGGAATACAAGCGATTACCCAGCGAGAAAAATCTTCAGATTCTCCGAGCTATAAGGAACAAAGTCAAACACACTGCAAGACGCTGTGCCAACGACTACTGGACCGAACTCAGCGAAGCCATCCAGACTGCAGCAATTACTGGGAACATAAGAGGGATGTATGAAGGCATCAAAACATCAATAGGTCCAATCCAGAACAAGACAGCTCCCCTTAAATCCACCTCAGGGGAAGCCATCACAGACAAGGGACAACAGATGGAGAGATGGGTGGAACACTACTCTGATCTCTATTCAAGACAGAATGTAGTAACATCATCAGCCCTTGATGCCATAAAATGCTTACCTGTAATGGAAGAGCTTGACAACGAACCCACTAATGACGAACTCAGCAAGGCTATCAACAACTTGGCCTCAAGGAAAGCTCCAGGCAGTGACGGGATCCCCCCTGACCTGATCAAACACTGCAAGACTACACTATTACAGCCTTTACATAATGTCCTATGTGCGTGCTGGAAAGAAGGGGCCGTACCACAAGACATGAGGGATGCTAAGATCGTTACCCTCTACAAAAACAAGGGAGATCGCAGTGACTGCAACAACTACAGGGGCATCTCCTTACTCAGCGTTGTGGGCAAAGTCTTTGCTCGGGTTATTTTGGTAAGACTTCAGAAACTGGCTGAACGTATCTATCCAGAGTCACAGTGCGGCTTTCGAGCAGAAAGATCAACGATAGACATGGTATTCTCCCTCCGCCAGCTTCAGGAGAAATGCAGAGAGCAGCAGATGCCTTTGTACATTGCCTTCATCGATCTGACCAAGGCGTTTGATCTTGTAAGCAGAGAGGGTCTCTTCAGAATTCTATCTAAAATTGGCTGCCCCCTAAACTACACAGCCTGATTGAGTCCTTCCATGCCAACATGCAGGGGACTGTGCAGTTCAACGGCAGAACCTCTGAGTCATTCAACATCAACAGCGGTGTCAAACAGGGCTGCGTACTTGCCCCAACCCTTTTCGGAATCTTCTTTGCCTTCCTTCTGAAACATGCATTTGGCGCATCGAAAGAAGGGATCTACCTGCATACAAGATCAGATGGCAGGCTTTTCAATCTTGCCCGTCTCCGAGCAAAGACCAAAGTGCGTGAAGCCCTGATAAGAGACATGCTATTTGCTGACGATGCAGCAGTAGCCTGCCATACTCAGCAAGCACTTCAGTCACTCATGGACCATTTCTCTCAGGCCTGCAAAGACTTTGGGCTTACCATCAGCCTGAAAAAGACTAAAGTCCTGGAACAAGGAACAGAAACACCACCATCCGTTACCATCGACGATTACGAGCTCGAAGTGGTCCATCATTTTACGTATCTAGGCTCCACTGTCACTGACAATCTCTCCTTAGACTTCGAGCTCGACCAGAGAATTGGAAAGGCGGCTGCCACACTTGCACGCCTCACTACACGTGTGTGGTCCAACCCCATGCTCACAGAGAAGACCAAGATGGCAGTATACAGCGCTTGTGTCATCAGTACACTGCTATACGGCAGCGAGACATGGACGATGTACGCCAGACAAGAAAAACGCCTGAACACCTTCCACATGAGAAGCCTCCGCCGCATCCTGGGAATTTCGTGGCAAGACAAAGTCCCAAACACAGAGGTCTTGTCTCGTGCGGGCCTGCCAAGCATGTCAACCTTACTCAGGCAACGTAGACTCCGCTGGCTGGGCCACGTTCATCGCATGCCAGACGGCCGCATCCCCAAAGACTTACTGTATGGTGAGCTAGCCACTGGAAGTAGACGCAGAGGACGCCCACAGCTGCGATAGCGAGATGCTTTGAAGCGTGACATGAAGGCTGTAGGAATTGACACAGAGACCTGGGAAAATCTCGCAGCTGATCGGTCACAATGGAGAGGAGCCGTTACAAGGCACCTCAAAACAGGAGAAGAGAAGCTGACACAAGCTGCCACAAGGAGGCGGACCCGCAGAAAACTTCGTATCAGCAACGTCCAACAAACAGCATACACGTGCAGCACTTGCGGCAGGGACTGCCATTCACGCATTGGCCTTCACAGTCATAGCCGCAGATGCTCCAGCCAAACACACAATTAGGATGCTATACCCATGGTCGACCCTGACCGATGGAGGCCTACACAACATTATAAGAATTCTATGGTTGACAGTAAGGAGAATTACAAATTTGATCTGGGAGTTGAAGAGTTAAAGTAGTGTTTTTCAAGAGGGATGAATGAGGTAGAGTGTCTAAAGGTTTACTAACACAAAAGACAGAGTTGGAGTTGAATTGTTCATTAGTCGTAGGAATGCCGGCGAACCGGAGAAAATCGAGAGTCGGAGTCGCAAGTGGAGCCCAAAGCTTGACGAAATCGGAGCCGGAATATTCCGAACAATATATTTTCTTCCGTTTCCGGTAATAACTCCAACGCTTATGATCCAGTGAAAACTAGATTGTCGGAATCACAGGCAATGCCAGTTCTTAGCTGAGCTAACCGACGGCTCACAACTCCAGCAATTCATTTTTCACATATCATTAGCGAAGGAGTCATAAGTGGCATCAGTATTTTGCTTCTGATTCTTTGGTTTGATTTCACAAGGTCATATCGCTCTGCTCTTTTTTTTTCTTTAGAAGTCGATCCAAGTTGATAATGAAGGAGAGACAAATTTGTTTGTTTGTGAAGTCTCTTCGAAAATTCAACATCCGTTTTCAACGCTAAGCTGATTGTTCTGCACTGCAAAAAAATATTTGAGGGATAAAAAGCAAAAGAATACGTCCTCAATTTGGCTCTAATATATACACGTATATTTTGTCTTTAAACATGATCCGTTCCTAAAAGCGCACAGTTTTCCTCAAGCTTTACTCTCCGAAAATTCTTGGCCTCTCTAGACAAAATAAATGTCCACCAAAAAAAAGTACGAGCATATTTTTACACTAAACAGAGGCTACTGTTTAATAGTCGGTCCTCGCTCAAACTTGTTAAGTTTCTAAATTATCCTTTCAGATTGAGTACACGTTTCTCACAAGCTTCCCACAAACTTCAGTGGAGAGAGTCTTACAGTTCTTCACATTACATCAAATGCTCAAGTGCCTAATTACAGCACATACCTCCTGATATTCTCCCAAGGGAGTCAGATACTGCAGAATTAGTCTCTGCTGCATGCCAAGAGTCAGGGGGGAGAGGGAAAAGGGCATAGGGACTATGTGGTACCCTCCCTTAGGTGCACAAATTACATTTCCAGTGGAACGGAAACCCTTGCTTGTTTTAATTAACAATGGATGTTTTGCTTGTAGACAACTTTTACCTGAAACAAAAAGAAAATATCTATTAATATTAAGGAAACTGAGCTGGCTTGTGCAGGGCAAATCTACTTGGAGTACTTCCTTCCTGGCACCCCCCCTCCTCACCCCACCCACACCCCTCCCCCCTTGACACAAAAGAAGAGAAACAAATGATAATAAGAACAAAAATACTGAAGTGCTTGAGGAAGGACACTTCTCAATCCATGTTATTGTGACCACCTAGATATACTATCAAATCCCTCTAGTTCAAAATTGAAAGCTAACCTTGTTTCCCTTAAACTCCCAGAAGTGATCAACATGTAACTTCTCTCTATAATGTACATACGTAATTCACTTAACAGCTATTGAGAATACACAAACTTATCAAGCAGAGGTTGTTATCTTGATCTAAATACCAAATTCTCATAACTAATTTACATGGAAAGATGTAGCAACTATAGGGGAGAATTAACAATCTGATTTTGGGAGTCAAAGGGTCACAAAAAAACATAAAGCACAGCTTTCCAACATTTTTCACAAGAGTGGAATTTTGAGGCAAAAAAAAAAAAACTTGACCTCTAAAAGACCCTATTATTCATTACATTATCCTTGCAGTGCTTTCAATAAGATTTGAAGAAGGTAATCCCATTACTTCCATTTGGAATAAACTGGCTTAAAACAGAGTTTTTGGTGCCAAACTTTCACAGATGATCATTAAATATTTTTGTTCTTGATAACAATTGTTTAACTGATCGTTTTATTCCTGATCAAAATTTTCCATTCCCTGACATGCAGGCCTGCTCCCTGAGTTTCACACAAAAAGTCCTCTGAAAGGATATATGGTAAATGTTTACCAAAATTTGAGTCAGTCTGCTGTTGGAAACTCAAAATATCTTTTTTTTTTGGCTGGAAATGTATGAAATGTATGCTAGAATATATGATAAGAAAATACCAATCATTTTATCAAAACTCATTTATAAAGGTAAAAGTTGACTGAAAGAACTCTAGAAGATCTCAAGGTGTTTTAGGTCTCACATCGTGAGTTTGCATGAAAGCTCCCAGAGTATACCTGGCAATTCACTACAGAATACCCGCTGGAGCTCCTACTGGTGCTGGGTCTTACTGAAAGCACTGCCTCAGCTGTCGAAGTGAAAACCCAAAGGAGAATAATTGAGCCTTCAAGTTGCAAACCAGTCATACCACTCAGTTTGAAAAGACACTTAAATCAACTTAAAGTTGTTAGAAGATTCAACTCACTGGCAGAGGGGCAATCTGAGTTACAATACTCAAAAAGTGAACTAACCCTTTCCATTGTCTATTTGCTTCTTCCACTTCTCCATTACACAAACCAGATGTTTCACCATTCTGTGGCACTGTGCATGATGGTCCTGGCTCAGCAAGATTCACTTTCTTTACTTTGTTACTCACAATGTTACTGTTTTTGCTCTTGTTCCTGTTTGTCTTTGCCTTCAGGATAATCCTGTTTAACAGGTCTGTCACAAGGGACTGTGTAAGGTCTGACAAGTCCTTTAAAATGTGCAGCTGCCACAGCATACAGGGAACCTAAACATGTGAAATTTAACATTTAATCCTCAGCATATAGTTTAAAAAAGGTGTTCCAAACAAAAAATGCCATGAGTGACAAAAGACAATTCCTGAGAAGTGTAAACCCAACTATACACTCTGACTTTTGGAAAACAAATGCTGTTAAACACAAAGCTAAGGTGTAATATTTTAAAAACCCCTTTTCACCCTAACATCAGTATGCATATTCTCCATACTGTTCTATATACATTTCTTTAGTTGTTGACTTGGAGAATTTATTTAACAAGATGTCAAAAGCTTCTTTATTTGGTGATCATTTCCTTTGTTCTCATAGCCTTTATGTTTGATTCAGGGGAGATATTGTAAGGAGAAATTAGATGCTGGTCACTCTTTTAAGTTGCAATACTGACTTACCAAGGTAGAGTTTTCTTCTCTGAATACAGCTGCAATATCCTGACTCTCTATGGCAAATGCTTCAAGACCTGTTAATAAAATAATTATCCAAGTTTCTATTACTTGATACTTGAAATTAAAAACAAATTAAATATGCAACTGCAGCAATACACATTAAAAAGGAACAAAAAGGAATATTAGAATCCTCAATGAAACCATGACTATCTATATCTTAACCTTGTACACTACCTTGGATCACCTAACTAAAACAACCTTCTACTTACACCCAGTTAATAAACATGTACACAAAATTGAGTTAATTCAGAAGCTGAAGCTGTACAAGAATTAGATAAATCTAATTTTCCCCAGGAGGCCACTTTATGCTAAATATTTTGTCAACTAAATTTTCTTTTTTCTCTTTTTCAGGCATGGTGACCTAAATGTTCAAAGCCTGAAGTACTGTGTAAAGTAAGACCAGTAGTAGTAGGCCTCCATCGGTCAGGGTCGACCATGGGTATAGCATCCTAATTGTGTGTTTGGCTGGAGCATCTGCGACTATGACTGTGAAGGCCAATGCGTGAATGGCAGTCCCTGCCGCAAGTGCTGCACGTGTATGCTGTTTGTTGGACATTGCTGATACGAAGTTTTCTGCGGGTCCGCCTCCTTACCAAAAAAGATAGCCTTGAAGTATACTTTAAGTATACTACAAGTATACTGCGTCAATAGTGGTTATACTGCAATCATACTTCAATAATACTTCAATAGTACTGCACTTACTTAAGTACATCTGCAGTACCATTTTTGAAGTACACTTTAAGTATACTGCTCAAGTGAAAATCGTTTTCTTTGTTGTTGATGTAGGGTAAAAGTATACTTTAAGTATACTGCTCGAGTGAAAATCATTTTCTTTGTTGTTGATGTAGGGTACAAGTACACTTTAAGTATACTGCTCAAGTGAAAATCATTTTCTTTGTTGTTGATGTAGGGTACATGCAAGTATACTTTAAATGTTTGACACAAATGTAAATCAAGTTCAGGTCTGATTAAGTGGGAAATAACTCTACTGAAAAGGTACTGATGCTTCAGTTGATAAAGATCATAATTACTTTAATGTCTCACACAAATGAGAGTAGTAGGAAATAACTATACTAAAAAGGTACTAATTAGGCTTCAGTCTATAAGATCTTATACATTAACACAATCAGATTGGCTGGTTTACAGGTATACTGTACTACAAACCAGAAAAAGCCTGCACAGCAAAGTTATCTTCTCAGAAGAATTATATTACACTGTATATTAGCTTTCAACTTTGAAAATACCATCCACACACACAGGTCTGCATGGCTCATTAACATACATTCTTTGAAGTCATTGTAACTGCAAAGCTTGACACTAACAGAAGCCAACAAGCCACAGACTAGTAAAAATTCAGTTTTGGCTAGTGGTTTTCAATTATTTTCCACTAAACACTGGCTAGTAAACAAACTAAATTTGACCAAACTAGTTTCTGTCTTTCTTCAAAGAAGACAAACACAAACACTTTTCTCGCAATGTCTTTGTGGATCTATCATGTCACTAGGCACGTGATGTTCAGCACCATTGCAAATTTACATCTGTATTAAAAAAAAAAGTCTGTTTACTTTTCACTGTGTGACCCCTAAACAGGTAACTGAACATGTTATTATGTTGAAAGAAATATTTGACAGACAAGACAGCATTTTCTGAAAGCACACATCAATTTTCTTGTGAAATATGTACAACAAAACATGAACTTCCAAATAAAATCATGCACAAATTCGTGCAGCACTGTAAAGGGATAACATTTCATTAACTGTGAAAACACATATCATCGTATGCTTACTGACAAAGTTTACAACTACAGAAATAATTAGATAAGAAGGAGTGATCCTCTTTGACATTTAAATCAGGCATTTATTGCCATCAAATTTCACCAACAAAGGTTTCCAGGATTTGTTGTTTTGCTTTTGAAACATTTCTATGGTGCCTGTCTGTGAAGAAGTCTCAACAGTTTTTACAATGTCTCCAGGTCTCAATATTTTTCCGAGAACATCTCAAAGAAAAACAGAGTCCTGAAAGTCTTTGTGGGAAAATTGCTAGATTTTTTTTTGTGATTTGTTGACCTAGAGATTTGATGTGAGGAAAACATGAGGCCCATTCAACAAAATTAGAACTGACACAATTCATTCATTTACTTAGCTAGTAAAAAAATTTTTGGCTAATAAAGTCTAAGTTATCACTAACAACAAGGCTAGTAAGTTCAAAAGTTAGTGTCAAGCCCTGTAACTACTGCCTAGTCCTTTTCAAACCTATTTGGAAGCTTACACACAAAACCAGCATTTGTAGAATCACTGATGTTGACAGAAACACACATTGAAATAATATCCATGACAGGAACTGCAACAAATGCTCCTTTTGCTTTCTTAACAGGAACAATGTGATTAACCATAGCATTTGTGAACTTATCCTTTGAAAGGCTAATTTTTGGGTTAGGCTCCAGCAGCTTCAAGATGGCAATATAATGAATTCTATCAGAATGTTCACAAAGCTGAAAACACTTTAAAAAGAACTGCAACTCTCCAAAATTTAAAGTACCATTCTTGGTAAATTGAACTGTATAGCTATTTCTCTTTGTAGTTGCATGATACTGACTACACTGAAACATTGTTCCATGTTTCCAGAGCCGCTTGAATTTATGTGAAGTTAAAATTTCCCCAAGTAGATCTTTAACAACTACACTGGTTTGTGGATCTAAATCAAGCCTTTGAAGGCTACCTATCGCATACACCTTCTCTGCAATTTCCTCTCTACAAGTGGGCAGTGGACGGCCTTCCACAAGATGTTTGTAGAAGCTCTTTGCTGCTGATCCTGCAGGAAGCAGAGGGGTTAGCTCGGGTATCTTCTGATGAATGCAAACTGCATGGGTAATTTGAATGTCAACATTCTGTGTACCATGAAACAGTTTTGTCAAATCCCCATTATAGCCCTCAAACCAGAAGCATGATGTGCCCCATAGTGGACCAAGATGTCTCACACAATCTGGGAGATGAAGCAGCATGTGCACATTGTATGTCTCATACCTTCTACCATACAGGGCCTCCATCCTTGTGCAGAAGTGTAACAGCATTGATGAGCTACTCTCTACATCATTTGGTGAAATGGAATCTTGTAGGAGTAAATAGATTGCATCTACCAGAAGCACGAGGTGCTGAAAATAAACTTCCTCTAGAAGTCCCCAGAGACAGGGAAGGGCATAGTACAAAAGAAAAGAACGCAGTTCTGATGCTTTAAAATGTGCAAGATTCTTTAACAGACTTCTGGGTGTACGTGTTATGACATTTGGGGGCTTAATATCTAAGTATCTTTGTTCCAATTTCTTGACATTTTCTGACCCAAGATACCATGGATTACTGGAATATGACTTTTCTGTCCATAAAGTTAACAACATTTTAGTGATGCCCAGCAAAACACAATGCATGTAGTCAATTGTTACACCATTGATGATATCAAAACCTGGTAAAACCATACTCCAAGTCATCCCTTTCACTCCTTTAACTACTGAATCTTTACCACTGCCTTTCAGGTTATCAGCTTCTTTGGCAAATAACAGTGTCTGTTCATGTGTCCGTTTCTCAATTGTTCTGGCAGTTAAATTTGTTTGTTTTCCTCCCTCTGCATTTTGATGTCCTCTTATATGAAAGGGGTATGCCCTGGTGTGCCCTCTTTCACTGGTTTTCACAGTTTCACCAGGATGAAGACAATATGGACATCCATATGTCCCATTGAATTGCGACATATTTTGAAATAAACACTTTGCAGGAGCGTCAAAACTTCCACACAAAAGAATACAACGTATAATCCTCAAAGATCCATCAGAGAAAGTTACCTGTTCACCTGGAATAAAAACAACTTAATGAGTGAGTGTGATAAAATCATGCTTATAAAATTCTCATAACCACAGATGTCTATTATTCTAAACACTCCAATGGTAACTCATGCATGACCATTGAGTTTATAATAGAAATACTTTGGAAAGAATAAGAGGGAATTTAACTTTGGAATCTCAATGGGAAAAGAAAAAATAATGCAAAAGTTACGTACCTTCTTTAAAGAGACCATGAAGAGAATTTACAAATGGCTGCAAAAAAGTGCGGAAATCTGGCTTCTTACGTCCAAACCACAGACCAGCAAAGAGACGATACTTGGTGCTAAACCTAAAAGTATGAGCAGGAGAACAGCTATTGTGATTTGCTGTCAACATGTTACATTTTCAAATTGTGTAATTAGTTCAGTCAAAGCAATACCTGAAAGTTTGATATGAAATAAAAAATGAAAGAGAAACTCAAACCCATTCAAACCAAAGCTGAAACATGTTTTAAAGCTCTTCATCTAGTCACTGTCTTAAACTTGTTTTCTTCATAGAAACTGCCAAATCAATTTTTTTCAACATCAAATTTGCACAAAACAAGTTAGTGACTACCTGTTTCTTATTTTCATTCAGTTAAACCTGGTGTAATTAAATGTTTTTCTGGT